ATGTAGTGAATAAAGATAGAATTCATGTGCCTTATAGTAGTTTAAGTTTCATAGAAAGGCTGGCTAGGTCAGGATCTCCTTGGTGCTTAAAAACAAAGGAACAGAAACTTAGCTTATGAAAGCAGCTTTGTAAAACTGATTTTTATAAATATTTTCCTCATTACTGCACCAAGGAAACTTTTGAACAGCTATGAGAAAGGTTCAGCTTGAACTTTAGATATAGCATAAATCAAATAGCATTTAAAAGATTTCTTCAGGCAGAAAGAAGAACAATGTCTGCCCACAAGCCAATGCTTGCTGTTATGAATACATCTATCTATCACCTTTACTTAAATCAAACTGTATCTTACGTAATAGATATAAGAATTAAAAGTTTAGATTGTTCCATCAGGTAGTTCTGTTCTAATGATTGAGAGAAAAATGTACTAGTTAATCATGAACATTAATAATAATATACTCTATAAGATTTTCTGCTCCGCCTAACCACTGAAATTTAACTCCCTGCTACCTTAACAACAAAGTATAATCAAATGCCAAAATAAAAAGTATAAAAGTTGTACTCAAATCACAATAAAACGGAACAGTGTCACACCGCCTCTGAGCTGTGTAGTCGACTGTCTCCCGCGCCGACACCTTGCCCACCTTCGGGGCCCCCTGGATCCTGTCGTGGCTGGACCGCGGCAATACAGCTGACGCGATATTTAGAAGGAAATATAGATTGTAAAATGCTTACATATTTAAAGAAAGGTCTAAATTGATAATCTTATTTTCTACCTTGACAAACAAAAACAAAGGTAAACTTAAAGTAGAAAGAATAAAAAATAAAGACCGAAGCAGGAATCAGTGGAATAAACACATAAAAACAATAGAAAATATCAATGAAACCAAAAGCTGGTTCCCTGTAACGATGAATAAAATTGGTAAACATAAGTACAGACCTTATAGGAATTATAAGAATTATAAGAAAAGATGAACAACTTCATATGCCTCCAAATTTAACAGGAATAAAATGGATAAATTCCTAGAAAGATGCAAATTACCAAAACTGACTTGAGAAGTAATAGAAAACTTGAATGACCTTTGCAAAATAAGGAAATTAAATTAGTAACTAAAAATAAGAGAAGAGGGAGATCGCAGAGAAGGAGACTCTATGAAATTCTGCATTATTTGAATCTTTTACAATGAGAAGATAGTGCTGAATTATTTGTGTGATAATAAAGATGTCTGTTTATGCTAGCTATAATTATTTAGAGTTCAGCTTAAAAATTAAATTCATAGGATACATCAGGCTTCATCCAGCACCGGGTTCATTTAGTTTTAAGGATGCAAACAGAAAATAGTCCAGCACATACAACAACATAGCCATGGTCTTGAGTCTCCGAGGCACAGCTTACAATGTCCCTGTCATGTTGCTTCTAGAATATTCATGGTCATAAGGAATGAAGCTGAAAATGTGAAAATGTGTAGACTATCATAGCTCAGAGAACTATCAGCTCTATGGTCCCTTAAGCTTTTTTTTTTTTTTAATCAGTAGTGACTCAATTTCCTTCTTTTTAACTGAAAAAATTTTATGTTTTAATTTTAAACTTTCTTTAAATTATAGGTGATATACAATATTATATTAATTTCAGGTATACAACATAGTGATTCAACATTTATACACCTTACAATCTGATCACCACGGTAAGTCTAGTAACCATCTGTCACCATACAAAGTTATGATGATATTATTGACTACAATGCCTGTGCTGTACAAATTTCCTTAAGCTTTTTTTCCAAGTTAGTCACACTGCTCTCTGAGTTGTATGCAGCTAGCATCAATTCTCTGGCACAGCTGCATCTCCTAAATACCAGTTATCTACTACTCAGGCTCAATAATGAGGGAGGTATGGTTTGGTCCTGTGCCTATGGCCAGATTCTCTTTTAATATGGATTTTCTCTAGTTAAATTCCTAAAAGTTCTTTTAGTTAATTTTGCAAGGAGGCTTGAACAAATCCTCAGACTTTCCTGAAACTAAAAAAATGGTCAAAGAAACAGCTGTTAACTCTTTTTAAAAGTCTAGACAGATATCACTCGAAGATTAATGTTATGTCTTAAGATTACAGGTAATATTACTTCTTTCTTATTTAAACTTTCACCTGTTTTGCAATTTTGCAATGAGCACTATATATAATTAATTTTATATGCAGAAAAATAAAGCTATTTCCAAAAATAATAAATTTTTATAAATGAAATCAGATATTTGCTTAATTGGGGAAATGAATAGTTGGTGCAGATGGTAAATATTTTCATACTTGCCAATGTTGAGAAGACAAATAATTTATTGTCATGTGGCAGTCTTAAAAATTACATTTTAACTTTAATAATTATTTTTTAAGTTATTTCAAAATTCCAAATAAGCTTTGAAACTAAAATAGTGGAAGGAACAATTTCGAGTACATTTAATTTTCTATTCTACTTTCATAGCAAGTTGGGTTCTCCAGGAAGACTCAGAGACGGACTCCTAGCATGCAGGAGGTTTATTAGAGGGCAGTTGGAATCAAGTTCCCCTGTGGAAGACAAGCGATGCACGCAGGATTGAGCAAAGGGGAAAAGTAAAGTTGTAATGCAGTCTCAACAGAAGCTTCAGGTAACCCCCATCTCCAAAGATGGGTAACCTTTCAGAGCTGTTCTGGTGGGGGCGAGGAAGAATGGAGTAAAAGGGAAGAGGAAGGGGTAGGGCCTTTGCAGGCCCACATTGATGACGTTGGCCCTGGGAAGGGAGCATGTGGTTGGCCCTGGGAAAAGAACATGTCTTCAGTCGAGGTGATATCTGAAGGAGCTGATGCCTTGAGGCCTATCTTCCTTGGAGTAACCCTCCTCTCAGCAGCTGAGTAATCAGGACTTTATTCCTGAAGGGAGATGTGGGCAGTACATTACAGTGTTCATCACAATTTGAAAGTGGCAAATGAGTTACAGTAAGTTTGTCTTGTAATATAGTCTGCATAGCAGACACTATTAGTTGCCTGGCCAAGATCCAACTTCTCTAGGTAGTCTAATTTATTTGAAGTAGTGATGTGCCCCGGCCAGGTGAAGTAACATGAGTATCTAAATCAGTTTTGAGAATCCTGTTCTCTGCTTCCTAAAGCCTCTACCTGCCCTCCTGCCCTCTGTAGCAGTTGAATGTGGTTAAGTAGCCCAATGATAAGATAATGAGACCTAAGGAAATGTCTGCTACAGGAATTCTGAAAAATACGTGTATTTTTTGTTGTTGTTGTTGTTGTTGTTGTTGTTGTTGTTGTTATAAAGAACAGATGAAGCTGATACCCTCTTACATCTTCCTAATTCCCTCTTTCTTTTTTCATACACAGCCATGGTACCATGGTACTTGTAGCTGCAGAAGTTATTTTGCAACCAAGAGGAAAAGATCAAGAGAATTGTTATGAGCTTGGTCTGACATTTGTGAGCCGCTGACTAAAGCCACAATATTACTTCTGGGTTTCTTGCTCTTTAAGAAAAATAACCCCTAATTGTTTGAGTAGCTAAAATTAGATAGTTTGTCATTGGCAGCAAAGCATAATTCAAAATGAGCCAAGAGTTATAAAATAAAATGATGACTCTATTGAAAATATATAGTTGATACATGTAATGTATGTATGTGTGAGTGGGTTTACTAAATTGTAGTGTTTTCAATAAATTTTTGAAAACACAAAAAACTATATCTTTCTTCTGGGATTTCATACTGCATATTATCATAAATGATATTGGTTAGTAGCTTTAAGATGTTCTGCCATAAATAAACCTATTTCAACAAAGTTTAGCTTCTTAAACATATTTGACAAAAAATACCTATTAACACTTCACTCACTAATGTAGAAAAGATTGGGAAATATTATTTAGCATGTGTTCTGATCCATGATTCATTAACTTATTCCCTGTTTCTATAATTATTTTCTGCAGCAGTATTCCTAGGAGCGTCCAGTTTAAGTTGAATTAAGCAAAAATGGTGAAGCCTCGTTACTCCAGATTACTGAAGCAAGCAAAGTAGCTGTGAGAAATTGATGTGTTTTAGGATGTGGTCTAAGCACAACAGAGAAACATGTGTAACAGCACATTTGCAGATCACAACTAACCTGCAAACTTTGTTTGCTGGTCACAATTAACATCCTGTGTCTCTCTACAGTAGTTATTTTTATCTGTCTGCAATCAGCCCCCTTTTACTACTGTGTGGGCTTGCTTATCGACAGTGCAGAAACAGAGAGGTGAGGTAGATGCATGCAGTTTTCTATGCTGAAGGAGGACTCCGTCTATTTTGGCACAGAAAGTAATGGTCATGGCCACTTTAACAAAGTCTTGAGTTGCATTTGCTCACATAGCTTCATGGCCTATTATCTATCTCTATCTCTATCTATCTATCTATCTATCTATCTATCTATCTATCTATCTATCGCCTATTATCTATCTCTATCTATCTATCTATCTATCTATCTATCTATCTATCTATCTATCTATCTATCTATCTATCTATCTATCATTATCTACAAAGAGGGAATTTGCTGCACTCCCTCTAAAGTCATTCTAGTGTGAATGACTGGATACTAGCCTTCCTTTTCTCTTTGACCTACTTCAAAAATGGTCCATTTTTCCTTGTAGTTATTTATTCAGGTAGTCTTCTGAAAGATGACTAGGAATGTCTCACAGACATGCAAACTAAAACTTTCTGAAATTGAACTTTTGATTCCTTCTCCATCTTTCACATTTTGATAACAGCATCGTCATTACCCAGAAACCTAATTCAAGCCAGAAACCTGGAACTCATCCTTGCTGCCTTGGCGTGTCTCTCACCCTCACATCCAACCCATTTTCATGCCCTGACTTCAGAAGACTGTTTTTCTCTGCTGCCCTTTGTAGGCTAAGCATCATGATCTCTTGCCTAGACCACTGCAAAGAGCCTCTCTACTCCTATACTGATGGCTTTTATGATCTCTTCCCCACAAAGCATCCAGAATAATATTTTAAAAACTAAAGTAGACTAGGTCACTCCCTTGCCTAATGGGCACTCTCAATGTCTTAACATTGCATTAAGAATAAAATTCCAACTCCTTATTTTGTCCTCCCTCATGCCTCACATGGCTTGGTTACTGCACAGTTTTCCAGTTTCAACATATAAGACTTCCTTTTGCTCTGTGGTCTACCCCAGGGTAAACTACACAGCCCATAGACCAAATCCGCTCCATCATAAGTTTTTACAAATAAAGTTTTATTGGAACACAGCCATACTCATTTTTTTTTCTATAAATCTGTGGCTGTTTTTGTGTTCAACAGAGACACAAAATAGCTCCAAAAGCCTAAAATATTTACTATTGGACAATTTGCCAATCACTCCTTTAGCATCTCACTAGCTTACTTTTCCCCCTCGATCAAGATGACACTTTACCTCTAGCCTTTAAACTTACCTTCTCCTCTGCTTGGAGAGGGTAAAATGTTTTTTACGAAGCTTATTCCATCTTCTCCTCAATGACTCAGCTCAAACTTAAGTATTTAGGACAGTTTTCCTTTGTAACTCTAAGTAAAGTAGGGCACCCATCTCCCCAGGTGCACATATCCTGTTTCCTGTATAACACATTAAAGTAGAAGTTATTTTGCTTATGTTTTTGTTTATAGACTACTTTCCTCCACAAGACTCTGAGCCCCAAGAAGTCAGGTCCTGTGTCAATCTTCTCCAGCATCACTTCCCCAATACCTAGAAAGTGACTGAACATAGTACATGCTAAGAAATATTTGTTGATTTAATGAAATAGCTATTCTGAACAATTTTCCTAAATGATAATCAATCATTTATTTCACATCCAATATAAATTCCCCACAGGAAAAACAGTGCTCTTTCTCTCCCTTCAAAACAGCCTAGAGTGTGTGAGAGGATAACAATAAACATTGTAATTGCAGAGGTAGTCAAGTTGCTCTTTGTATTCATTTATTTGTGCATTTATACATTAACGAATATTTAATAACAACCATCTATGTGAAGCATGGAGCAAGACATGATACAGTAAGTTTGTCCATTGGACAGAAATGTGACTATCATTGTCTAAATGTAACTAAGAGATTTCAAAAGTCAAAGATTTTGACTGAGATTTTCCCAACCTACTATCTTACTTATTCTACTCATCCAGAACTACTACCTCAAAGACTTGGCAAGGATTTTACTGTTAACTCCAGGACTAGAATAGTCAGTATTTGTCTTACAAGCTCCAGTGGAAACTGCTCTATGGAACTAAGCATGTTTAGATAGCACTTTATAAGCAGGGAGAAAGTAACTGGGTTTTCTTCTAGTGAGTCTGGTCAGCTATGAAGAGGAAGTAGCAGTTTAGGATAGAGGACTTTTTTTGGAGCTCAGTGATATTGGGCGTGGGTGTGGCTCTCCAATAGAGGGCTTTGGATAATGTGGTACCTGGGTACTTATGGACTTAGATAAAATGTCATCTGACAGCTAAGGATAGGGAAGAAAAGAGCAAGAACACAATTTCCCTACCTTGCATATGCGATAATTTCCTTGTGTATGTGACAAAATTATTTAATTTCTCCTTTTTGGTCATGGTCATGGCTTACAGAATCTTACCTTACTTATCTTTGTAGTTCTTAAACTGCTCAACTCAGAAACTTTCACACATATAGTTTCTTAAATACTTGCTGAATTGAAGAGCAAGTATACTTTGAGAGAAGGGATTTTCCCTATGATTTCATCTGCAATAAATGCAACAAAAACACTGGCTTTTTTTTTTTTTTTTTTTTTAGTAGAATAAAGTTGGTGTTTCATACTACTAAACCCACAGCTGGTTAATATAATTAGTTTCTGAAACTTTTTGTTCACTGTATATATAGATAAATTGTCAATAGCAATATTAAAAGATAGACCTAAAGATGTTTGGTGTTACAAGATAAAGGTGCTTGGTAATTGCCATCTTGTTTGGAAATGGCAAATGATAGATTTCAGGATGATTAGCAAACTATAATCCCATTAACCTGCCTTTGAAGTCAGTTTTACTACAAGCTGCAAGATGGAAACCCCTAACCCTTCTCCTCCCACCACTGTGTCTTAATGGACATCATTTCCAAGGAAGCTCTGTAGCGTTAACAAATAATGATGATTATAAAAGTGATTATTTTTAAGCATATATATTTCTAGGGGAAAAGAGAAGAGCATATAATTGTTATCTATATAGTTGATATTTGTTTAGTCTTATTGAGGTGCTTTGCATACATTGGTACAAATCCTTCAACTTTGGCCTGTTCTCACTATAGAGAGAATTACATTTTTAAAAAGGCTCTTTTGCTTAATTTTATTTTCATACTTGAGAGCCTCCCCTTGCTAAATTATCCTCGTTAACAGTCACACATTGTTTCTATTTGCCTGCATCCTTTTTATGTCAGTGAAGAAGACTTTGTATTCAAGATATCAAAACAAATTAGTAGCAATGAATGATTTATACAAAAAGCTTAATACTGCCATTATTGAGCAAAACTATTTGGGTAGAAGAGGTCATGGCATAAAGTATCACTTGGCTCAGAAATCCAGGTCCATATTAGATAACAAAAAGCCAGATTGAAGCACTTAAAACTACTCAGGTAAAATCAAGGGCTAATAAATCATTTTGAGAATCATGGATAAGGATAAATATTGAAATTTCACAGCTGTTTCAGGAACTATCGTGTATTTGAACAACACTGAATTAATTATGTCCAAAAGAAAAATGGAAAAATAGTTTTAGTCAAGTAAGAAACTGCAGATAAGTTTTTTTTTAATTAAAAAATAGTACAATTAGCTCAAAGTCAACTGAGCTGTAATGTTATTGATTACAGGTGTAACACAAACTCACTGTCCAGCAAAACCCTGCAAGTGAATGGTCCGACTTATTTACCGACTCTATTGATTA